ACCCGAGAAAAACCAAAAAAAAAAAAAAAAAAAAAAAAAAACAATAAAGAAGAATACATTGTAAAGTTGGGCTAGAGATCTTTTTAATTTAAGGTCCTGCATGTATTGTGAGGAATTCTCATAATTTTGATAATCCGTCAAACTCTGCTCTTTAGATTTTCTTTGGAAAGACAATTTTTAGTTATCATTTGCTTCTCTGAGGTTACTTAGAGATATTGCTTTTATGCATTATGCTTTGCTTGCAGAACTTTGGATGAAGATATAGTTCATGTAACAGCAACAAAATATATTAAGAATGCAAGACCCATGGGCTAGAAATATGTTTTTGAAATAATGTTTATCACATCTGATATTATTCTCAGAAAATAATTATTGTATCATGAAATAAACCTCTCTCTCCGATTAAAATGTACCAATCAAAATAACTTGCAATTATCATAGAATATAAATCTCCAGGAATAATTGTATATTTTTACAAAACCTCATGCTCCAACCCCTTGAGAAATGATGGGAACAGAAAACCTCTTTACAACATTCCAGTTAAGGAAAATAAGTCAGACACAAAAGTTCAAATATTGAATGGTTTCTCTTGTGTGAGAAATAATATGTAGAGAGAAGATATATAGATAGATACAAATGAACAAAATGCAAAAGAGATAAATGGGAAGTAGGAAGAAGTTCATCTACTTTCCTAAATTACATATTTAAAAGTATTTCAATATTTATGCTAATTTGTTTTATTTATACTGCTAATTTATCTTGCTTCATTGAAAAGAAAATCTTGTGTTATGTTTCTTTGTCATAAGAATCTTTTTAGTTTTTGTCTTATACTCTAACTAGTTTGAAGATAACAGCACACGGTGTGTTAACTATTATTATTCTCTTATTTTGCTATGAAATTTTGTTTTACATGTTCTTAAAATAAGAAAACACATTCCAAGTGAGAAAGAAGAGCAGACCAGTTCCACATCTGCACATAGCCGTCCACACCAGGTGCTGTCACACAGAGCCTTGCTAGGAACACTGGCAGGGGTGTCATTCTTCTAGTCCTCTATGGTGCTCTGCAGGTTCTTGAATCGCTACTATAGGCACTTAGGCATTAACTTAGGTTGACTTTTGCATATCCTCTGGCATTCTATTATCATCTGTGATGAGAGATGGGGGAGTTCCTCAGATATAATTGGATGCCCTCTTTCTTTCAGGTAATGAGAATCAGAATTAGGATATCCATCCCTTTGTACACATTTGATTTCCACAGTCTCCTCTGCGTCCAGGTTGTTAGGTCAACATCAGGAGCCCATACCCACTGCCTGTGCCAACAAGAGCAGCTCTGACCACAGCCTGCATGTGAAATACTATCTCATCTTTCATCCACACTAGGAAAACTGCAGATTAAAGAACTGGGTCTGGGATCACAGAATTAAGAAATGACTGCACTAAAATTCAAGACCACTACCTGATTTGAAGTTGGGGTCCCTCCACATCACAGGGCCATCTGCCTACTGTTACTGGTGAAACAAATTCCGCCTGTATTTTGTGATTTGACAGGCCCAGAGCCCCTGTAAACACTAATTCTTTCAGAATATAATCCTCCTATTATATAAATTGGATCTTTCAAATAATGCTTGCATTTGAAATTATTGTCTTTTGGAGGCCAACATTTGTTGCTTTCTTACTTTTTTTTTTACATCACAGTAGAATTAGGTTAATAGTAAAATTTTACAATGTCAGGATAGCTATAAAGATACTTGTAATACTTATTTAATTTTTATAGATCTCTTGACTTTTTCTAATTTTATAAAATACATCATGATAAAAGTTTAGAGAATGTGGATTTTTATTTCCTTACATAATTATCACTTTCACCACTAAGAAGGGTTTTAGTAAAGAATTTTTTCCCTCAGAAACAAAATATTTCATGTGTGGGCACCAATTACCATAGTATTTGACTATTTGACTGAAACATTGGAAAAGCTATCTGACTTTATACGACCTAATTTTTTTTTCTTTTTCATCTTTAGTACAGTTGAGAACATGTGTGTTTTTTACCTTTTTCTGAAGTCTCCGAATTCTGACGAACATTCTGGAAAATATGGACATGTATTTGTTATTCAGACACAAATTTGCAAAATAAAGGAGTTACTCCCAAAATGTAAACACTAAAATTTTTCTCAGATGAGAAAAAGAACTGTTTCTTAACATCATCATAGATCTAGGTTGATTATTAAATGTAGGAAAAATCTAAGTTATAAGATGAAAAAGAAAAGCACTCTGAATATTGTAAAGAAAAATTTGAGTGATATGAATTAAGAAAAACGTTGCAAGAATAGGTTCAGTCTTTTCATGGTTATTAGAATATTTCTATAGACATCACCCTCGTCACAGTCTCCCTTGTGTAACAGTAACTAATGTTCTGTCTGTACAGTGTGTGTGTTTCTTATCATTAGCAGTTACTCAGATTTTGTGAACACCATAAAAGGAGAGGACTGACTAACTATATAGTTTCATTTTTTTTCTTTTGATTGAGGAGTTGATAGTATTTACACTGAGAATTATAACCGATAGACATTGACATTCCTGTTATTGCCTCCTTTTTTCATTGCTGATTCCTTCTTCCCGTTCTACTTAATTGCTCACCCTACACAGTGTATTCATTTACGAGACCTTTTGACATTGTTAGCTTTATTGTCTCTTTCTTAAATATCCTTGAGAATTTTTTGGAGTATGTTTTGGTGACAGTAAATTTCTTTAGGTGCTCTTTATTTCTCCATCAATTTTGAAAGAGATTTTTGAAAGATATATCAGCCTGGGTTGAAAATTGTTTCCTGTTAGGCGTGAAACACTTCTCTCCAAGCTCTCTTGGTCTTTAAGGTTTGTGTGGACAAGTGTGCGGTAATTCTAATGGGTTTACGTTTATAAGTGATTCACTGCTTTTCTCTAACCACTTTTAAGATTCTGTTCTTGTGCTGCAGTCAGGATTTTGACTATGACATATTGTGGAGAATTTCTTTTCTGACTGTGGCTCTTGGGGTTTCTATATGTATCATTTATCTGTATGTTATTATTTTTCTCTTATTCCGGAGGTTTTCTGCTATTATTTCAGTAAATGGGCATGATCTTGCTCTTGGCAGATGATTAGCCCTCTGGTCTCTGCTGGATGTAGGGTGCAGGGTTCAAGTGGACTGTTGGACACAGGGTTGATACTTCTGAGCTCTGTGCTCCCTAGAGAGGACCTGTGTCCTTCCCAGTCCGACCTGCACTTCTCTGGGGCTCTATCTCTGGCCACCTTCTCTCCATTGTGATCTCTTGTGGCTATCTCTCTCCGTCACTTAAGGTTTATGCTGAAGTCCCTGAAGTTCCTGGCCAGATCCATACTCTTTGCCCGGGTCTGCTGGTTTTCCAGGCTTACCTTTCTCCCCAGGCATTGTACTCAGGCAGGGTGAGGTCAGTTGGTTAGTCCACTCCTTGGCTGCTGCATTCCACAGGGAAGCAAAATGCAGGGCCATCTTGGAGCTGATGGATGGCTGTGCCCTTGTGCTGGGACAGGGGTTGCTGCACATTCGATGCAGATCTGTTTGCTCATGTCTTTATTTTTATCTTTGTTGGGACCCTACAAGTACTCTGGTGGCTTAGGATTTGCCCGCTATAACTGCATTACTAAAACTTATACAAAGTGACCAACAGACTTGCTAAAAATAGTTTCAGCCCCAAAGTAAATCAATTTTCTAATAAGATCTCTTTTGACACAAAAATTTTAAAAACTAAAATTTGTTATTATTTTGATACAGGAGCTCTCTGTGTTTTCCAGGCAGGTCTCAATCTTCTGGGCTTATGTGGTCCTCTTGCTTTAGCCTCCTGAATAATTTAGATTATAGGTATATACCTCTATGTCTGTCTTTAATTAAAGTTTTAAAAGTTTGTTTTTAAAGAAAATCCAAGTAATTAAAAACCAGATTTTTGCTGGGTGTGGCGATGCACGCCTGTAATCCCAGCACTTGGGAGGCTGAGGCGGGAGGATCACTGGGAGTTCAAGGCCAGTCTGGGTTACAAAGAGAGTTCAAGGGCAACCTGAACTATAGAGGGAAATCCTGTCTCAAAAAGACTAAATAAAGGTAAAACAGATTGCTTAAACAAATAACATAGGTAATAATTGTTTTCCCGTGTCAAAGAACTTGCTATATTATTTCTTTAGAGAAGGAACATTTCTACCATTTTGAAAGTGTCATTAAATTTAAATGTAACTTTACTTTTTTTTTTTTTTTTTGATTTTTTTCTCCGGTACCGGGAACCGAACTCACGACCTTGCGCTTGCCAGGCAGGCGCTTTTGCCGCTGAACTAAATCCCCAGCCCCAATGTAACTTTACTTGAAAGCATAATTCATATGAACCTTCTCAGAAGCATTTCTATTACATGAAATATTTCATTTTAGTACATCATCAACCACCAGTTGTAATGACTACACATAAGATCTTCAGCCCATCCATATGGAGGAGACTATTAAAGATTTTAGTTTGACTTAACTAGATTTCAATTTATTCAGAAATACAGACTTGTATTATAAAATCACCATGACATCCACCTACACCACTGTGTGAAAGAAATTTTTCACTTTGTGGTTTCTTTTTTGTATGAATATTTAATGGAAATATACTAGGTGAGCTTCTGGAATAAGATTTGAAGCATAGAAAATTGTTTCCAGTACTAAGGGGGGACATGGAATGGAGGGTAACTGCATTTGTGATATAATTTTTCATCTTGCCAGACTTACATTTAATAAATACCTAATTACTTCCTTGCATGGCAGGAAATAATCTCTTGCAAGGTGACCAAAACTGCAGCCAAGAGAAAGGGAAGCTTCTCAAATTTCTGAGCTTGTTGGCAGAAGACCTGCAATTCTCAGTATTTCTTTAATCTTAGGTTTATCACGGGTAGATGGACTTAATTATTTTGGCCTTGTTAACTACAGTTGATTACTGCACTAATTCTGTAAAATGTACTTATTAATTGGACAAATATTCTTATATAAGTGTGTTCACAACTAATATAAGATGGAAAATATATGAGCAAAAAATATGAATGCAAAGGACAATGTAGAATAAGTGAATTTTCAAAGTCTACTGAAAATAGGTAGGATCTATTTGGGGTAGGGGCTATTGAAACACCAACATATGTTATATAAAACTAAGAACTGTGAACTCTTTTTATCATTTCTGTGAATGAAAATAATTTCAGCCTTGTGAAAACAGCAATTAAAATTTGATGTAATGGGTTTAGCTGCAAAGAAAAATTATACCAGATTGAGTTCTTATAAGTACATAAGGGTTATGAAATGTGAATATGAGATTTTCTTGAGCGCTATAATTGTTCATGGCTTTTCTAGGAAATAACTAATGTCTCCCAAAAGGGTTCTTTTGGCTTCACATATGTTATATGTTTAATATTTCCAAGAAAGTTGTCATTTCTGTTGTTCTAGGAAGTTTCAGAAAGTAAATATATTGAAGATAATACTTTTTATACTTTAACATTATTTAAAGTGCTTCATCCTAAAATTCTACTTTCTGCATTCATTGACCTGTGGTTTGCTTCTGGTGATTGAACAAAAGTTGGACATAAAAGCTGAAAAATAGCCAAATACCGTAGCAGGATGGAAGACACTTGTCACAGTGGTTCATCTATGTCATAGGGCTGGTTGTGATCAATGGCTGTGAGATGACATGGATCTAACTGGTGCTTATATGAATTCATGTTGAGTTATGAAGATTCCCCCAAAACTACCACCAGGACCACCACCAAGAGCAATAATGTCCCTTATTCTACTTACATTGTTATCTGTGCCTTTTATTACCATTATTTCCTTTACTCACAAGAACTCTGCAAATTCCATTTCATTTTCCTACTTTAGAGATGACAGAAGTTAAACCTTGAGAAATGAATTAATTTTCCAGAGTATATTCATCCAGAAACAGGTCACTCTTGAATTTAACTCATGTTTGTATTGCTCTAAGCTCAATGTATTTTTATTACCACCTCCAGGTGCCTGTATTGTCTGTAAAATGCGATCCTCTAGGAAAAACTAAGTTCTTACTGAAAGTTACTCACTATGTGTTATCCTGGATTAATTTCACTTATTAGAGGATCTTTCTTTGTACCATATAATTCTCCAGTTTTAAAATTCATCGAATAATTATTTTCAAAACATATTGGTGGCATGCTTTACAAGATTATGGTGTAATTGTTTTTTTTACTTTGACCCAGAATAAAAAAAGATTCAATTAAATGTGATCACATCTGACTTCTTATCTTGCTATCATTTGTGAAGACATTAATATCCACATACACAAAAATAGTTTGGAGAATACATAGTTATTTAATTTGCATGTGTAATAGTTAGAAATTAAGAGAATAGATGTTTTTTCTTTAAGAAAAATGTAGGAAAACAAACACAAAATTATCTTAGGCATTGAATTTGGGAAATTACTGATTATATTATTTGACTTCTCCATTGTATTGTGCTTTTAGATTTTAATCTATATTTATCTTCAACATATTTGGTGACATGTCTCTGTGGCTCCTCAGAATCATCAATGTACTGTTCAAGTATTGTAGATAAGTGAATAAATTTATACATATGTTTCCATCTTAAAAGAAGACATAACCAAGCATTAAGAAGTAACTGAATTTGGTGTGAGAGACCAAAAGAGTCAATAAGGAAATGCACAACAGATATTATAAAATGGGAAGAAATTGTTCAAAAGGAAAGAAGAGCTGAGCATGGTGGTGCACTCCTGTAATCCCAGCACTTGGGAGGCTGAGGAAGGAGGATCCTTGAGAGTTCGATATCAGCCTGCACTATAAAATGAATTCAAGGCCAGCCTGAACTGCATAGTGAGACCATCTCAAAAAAAAAAAAAAGAAAAAAGAAGTAGCGTTGAGGAAAGGGGAAAGGAAGGATGGGAAAAGGAAAAATGATTTAAAAAAGGAAAAAATGGAAAACACTTTGTAACTAGGAAGGGGAAGATGGATTGAAGGGATGAGAGAAGGTTGGGAAAAAAAGAGGAATCAAAATATATCATGTATGGGTTCAAATTCCCTATGATGAATATGATCATTATGTATATCTAAAATGTACCAACAGGGGCTGGGGATTTAGCTCAGTGGCAAAAGCACCTGCCTGGCAAGCGCAAGGTCGTGAGTTCGGTTCCCGGTACCGGAGAAAAACCAAAAAACAAACAAACAAAAAAATAAAATGTACCAACATACCTAATATAAATAAATAAATAAATAAGCAGAAGAAACAAACAAGCAAAAAGAATAAAAAGGCAGGAAAAACCCGATAAAGTTGAAGGCAGGTGGATATAAACTGACCAATTTAATGAAGAAGGAAAAATAAATATTTTTAAAAATGAGAAGATCTTCAGGGTCTCAGGACAGAATACACAAAAATGTAAAATGAACACTTGCATGTGCAGAAAATATACATTTTTAAATGTACAAAAGAAGTTACTGAATTCTTATAGTTATTGAAACAATAAACAGCACAATGATTTGTGTATTCAGTAATGATCTGATTATATGCATTTAAAATCAATCTTTTGGGAATTTCAAGCTTACCCTAAGGAAATATAACATCTACTGTTATTTTCCATAAAGGTAAGGAATTCGTGCAGTTGTCTCTCAGGTGGTTTTGCATGTATGAGGATGTGTATATGTGTACAGATGCTTAGGTTCGAATCTCTATTTTGCCATTTAATAATCCAGTGCATAAAAACACTGAATATCAGATTTTGATAGTAGAAGTTACACCATCTTTATAACGCTTTTGTGATGATCAATTGAAAGGAAATAATAATGAAATTAAATGAATAGTATATATATGAAACTTTTGTCTACTACAACGCACTATCAACAATTAACCGTAGTAGTTCCTTCTTAGCTACAGTTGTGCTTACTGAGATTTTAGTTACCTGTGGTCAACTGCCTTCCAAGAATACTAAATAGAAAATTCCAGAAAGAAACAATCCATAATTTTAACTTGTTCATCATTCTGCATATTGTGATAAAATCTCTCTGTTTCCTATGTTTTCTCAATGAGAATTCAAATTACCCCTTTATCCAGTGTATTCACATAGTATATGCTACCCATCCATTAGATACTTAGTATCTAGTTGTATTATCAGATCAACTGTCACAGTTTTGCAGGGCTTGTGTTCAAATAATGTTTATTTTATTTAACAGTGGTTTCAAAGTGCCAGAGTAGTAATATTGTCAATTTTATTACACTATATTTTAATAATTGTTCTACTTTATTATTGTTAATCTCTTACTGTGCCTAATTTATAAAGTCAAGTGATTTGGTATTATTCATAGCTTTGAGGACCCAATGGGGAATCCAAGAAATACCCCTGAGGTTAAAAATGAACTACTATGTCATTATGACATTACATCTTTCTGCTTCATCATTTGCTAAGCCAATCATGGTAGATTTATCATTACTCAGAATGACTAATATTTTTCTTGGGCAATAATCACAGTCATTCTTTATTTTTCTGAGGTTTAAAAATCATCATACAGTGACTATTTGCAAACTGGGAAATCAGTATAAGAAGCTAGAGAAATTCACTCATTACTTCCAGTAACAGTGTGCACTGCCAATTCCGCAAGTGATATTAAAAAGCCTGATCTGTTCTTTCCTACATATATGTACGTATACACACACATGAGCAGTTATAACCCCACACATCAGCTCACAGGAGACCCATACGCAGCTTTATGTACACACCTGAATGTAAAGATGATGTAAGTATGTCCACCTACGGAAGATTGATTGCAGCTTCACTTAGACATTACAGGGTAGTCCTAAATTTATTTTCTTTTTAATTTAATTAAATCTACTCTTCCTAATATAATCAAACTGTCATTACCCACAAATGAAGGAATTTACTGCCTGCATGCCACACATGAACACATAAGTACACACATACACACAGATGTATAGTTGTCAGCCAAAAGTCTCCACTGTCTTTAATTATTGAATTTAGGCTTAATGAATTAATGTTTGATAAATGAATATATTTACCTCTCCTGTTGTCTGAAGAATTAGTTTTAGTTCATTCACTGCATCTGTAATTTGTTTGGTTTCGACACACCCAAGGATACTGCATAGATTTTTAACTTCTTCTATAATATTATCCACATATTGCTGTAGATGACAAGATTCACACATTACTGTTTGTTAAAACCTACAGGGCACTAATTTATCTTCAAAATACCGTTCTTTCCAAAAGAAGGAAATGGAATAAAATGTGGTTGACTGTTCCCACAAAAAAAAAATCTCAGGATTCTGGTTAGCCTGTGATCTACATCACAACGTACACTGAGTGAATGCTCAAGCATGGGATTAACTCAACACCAATTTATTCACTGTACACACTTATCAGCTTAATTAGTTCTAACATGACACTAACTGAAATGGAATATGGCCAAGGGAGAATGAGAGAAAGAAAGAAGGAGAAAATGATGTAGACTCACAACACAAAATATTTTAAGTCTACTTATTGTAGACCATTTCATTAATGACACATTATCAACATGAAAAGAAAACACTAGTTTTACATTAATAGAACCCTATTTCTCTTTCTGAAAAAGTCATATTTCTTGACATATTACCACTACCTCTTATGTGGTTATTCAAACACTGAAAATTTATGACAGAAACTTGAGTAAAGTAACTAATACTATGAAAGACAAAACAGATTTCAAAGGTATCAACAGAGCTGGTTGTGAACATACCATTTAAGGTATATTTTTAGCTTTTGACAGATTAAGAATATACAACTACTCATTATAACATAGAGAAGAAAACTCTCTGAATAATCCCTCTAAAAACAAGTCAGCTGTTTTATTTATGTTTAAACTCTCTATGAGTGTGATGTGGCTACCGGAAAGTGGACTTCATTAATAAAATGAATCAAATGATATATAAGCTCAATAAGTACAAAGTTACAAGTTAATTGCATTTTAAAAGTATAGCATCAATACAACATTAATTTCGGGTATTATACTTGAGCAAGGACTTGACGGGCTGGATTTTTCCAAAGAAAATCAACTCCACTATTAACACGCTGTAAATACACTCATTCATTCACAACAGCATAGCAGACAATATTTTCAGCTCTGCAGTTAGGTGGCATGTATATAAATACTGGCTTTTGTTTGCACCTGTAGCCACCATTAGCATATTTAACTTCTATGTACCTGGGTTCCCTCGTCTATGAAGTAGGACCAATAATAATTAATTACAAGTTTGACGGAAAGATTGGATCACATAAACCATAATAAAGTACCCAGCAGAGAATAATGGCTAAATTTTAATATTTAATTAACTTTTAGCCACTCACATAGAGGACTCAGTTTATAAGAGAAATCAGATATCTCATATATGTAGTTAGATAATAAAATAAACTAAAAAGTCACAAAGCTATGAATAAGGTACATAGTAGGTGCTATGCTTATTTTCATTTAGACATTCTAGCCTGGTGTGGGACACATATGGATTTGTGAAAATCCATAAATATTACTATTAAAATGCAAATACTAGGTTAACGGGTCGCTAAGTAGTTGGCAGCCAATTTGTTGAATCTACTATACCATTCTTACAGCACTTCTTATCTGATTTATTTTTCTCATTTAATATTCACAAACTTCTGAAAGATAAATATTAGATTCATTATATTCATGAGTCAATGAGTTTGTTAGAATATTTTAAGCAAAGTATTACAATTATAAAATTAACCTGGTGATTAATTGAATATGAAAAACCAATAGGAAGTTAGGGTTTAAGGTGATTCTACAATTTCATATTTGGGAAACTAAGTCTGTATGAAGGCATTACTCATGGCAGAAACAGACAGAATAGAACAAGTTTTAGTAGGATCGTGATGCGTGTATTTTTTGATACAAAGAGCTTTAGCTGTGCAGAGGAAGTGCAGGGGACACTAACTCCCACAACTGTTGGAAGAAAAACATAGATACCCTACACACAGGCATGCCGACAAAAAGACACACACACACACACACACACACACACACACACACATTGTACATTTATATAAACACTAGACGAGTTGTCAGGAAAAAATATATATAAATGCACGGTTTAGCCCTAAACAAAGATCAGCTAACTTTCTAGGTGACACAAATTAAAAGGGAACCTCAAGCCTGGCAGTAGCTCCAACACTGATGCTACAATGGTTTGAGGAAAATATCAGGCTGGATTTAGGTCTTAAGCCACCTCGGCCCCCGTAGTGTTTATTGCTTGTACTGGGACATGTGCTGATATATTAAGTCTAAACCAGTTGGTAGAGGTAAGGGAAAGGGCAGAATGGACTTAAGATCCTTGAATAACTCCCAGATACCGGATTGCCACCCACAAAAAATGAGAAAAAGGAAGCTAAGCCAAGTGACTGAGAGAACTCTGGAGGAAGGCCTTCTTTATCCAGAGTCTGGTATCAGGAAAATGATTCTCTGAAAAATTGAAATTCACATCTTTGTCATGGGCATCTGTGGAACATTAATTTGTAGGACCTACAGTGGGAATTTATGTCAAAAATTTCTGTACACTAATGTCACTATTTTGGATCTAGGCAGATGCAAATGGAAAAGTTCAGTACAGAAATACTTGTGTAACCCTAAACCACAGTTTGCCCCCAAATGCACATACAGATACACGTGCATGTACACATATGCACACACAGTGTAGTAAGAAGGAAAGACCAGCTTGAAACACAGGCCTAAGACAGCTGATCCTATTATGAGAACCTGTAGTGGTGCAAAAGACTAGGACTTTTCAGAAGATAACCCTGTTTCACCCTATTTCAAGAGATAGAAAAGCCAGGTTTGGACATTATTTTCACAGACATAGTACCTGGCCAGACTTTGAAAATGACTATCCAGAGTGAAAATACAGATGAACGAAAGAAAGGTTGAAACCTGGGAATATGATGTTTCAGAACATCTAATATTTCAGCGATGGAGGGGAACGTTTGGGTCACAGCTGGAAACCCCAAGTGTGGAGTCAGGAATACTACCTAATGGGGGGACATTGATATAAAGGGAGTTGATGGTATGGAAATTTTCAAATTGGAATAAAAAAGAAAAATTAAGAGTGGTAACCATTTTCAAGTATTGTATAACTTTCAGGAGGAAAGTGGATTTGATTTGCTATAAATAGCTCCAAAATGATAAACTAGAACAAATGCTTGCACATTTAGAGAAGTTTCCAGGGTGTGGTGTCTTGGGCCTGTAATCCCAGGACATGAGAGACTAAGGCAGGAGGATGGCTGGTTCAAGGCCAGCCTGAACTCCTATCTCAAAACAAGAATGAAAGAAAGGTTCACTTTGGTGCGATGTGAAAAAAAAAAATCTTTGTTTAAATTATTTCTTTAAAACTTGAGTAGGCTGTCCTTGAGCAGAGAATTCTTCCACATTATAGACAAATATGGAATCAGAAATTATTATGAGATTCTTGAATTGAATAAGTGTCTGGATTAAATTCTTCCTGAGTTGTTTAGTTAATAAAACTGGCAGCAAGTATATATTATGTTGTATGTTACAAAACAAGCTTATCTTAGAAAATATTTAATGTATCCTAGACTTTGAAAGAGTAGCATCCCTGTACTTTAGACACCAAGCGTACCTGAAAGGTATTTCGAACACTGGAAAAGTTTAGTGACAAACTTTTCTTCTCTGCATCTTCCTGGAAAAAACAAAAAAAAAAAACAAAAAAACGCCAGAAGTTTCATTAAGCCAGGAAGCAGGCTAAAGTAATATGCATTTAAACAGCCATATAACAGCTTACCATCTTCCAGATTTCATATAAGCTTTAATGAATTTCTATTTTTATATCCAGATTGAAAATCAGCAAATTCAGTTCAAGAGTTGGGAGACAAATCGAGAATTCAGAATGTTTTTCATTTCACATGCGAGAATTACTGCTATTATTAAGTTTTTAAAAAGACCGATAGAGTCTTTGGAGTTATACTTTCACTTAAAATGTTAATTCCATTATAAAAATTTAAAAAGCTGGGTAATATACAAAATAATATCTTTTTTTCAATCCTAATAGAAGGTTGAAGTCACTCGATAAACCACGTGAAGTGCATTACAGAATGACAGACCCCTCCTCCAAGAAGAGATGGGGCTCTCACACTGTCCAAGCTTTGCCACAATGCGGGAGAAAGAAAAGCCTATCACCTAGGTGGATAAGAAGAAATAAGATGATAATTTAAAACTTCTCAAAATCCAGGTTTGAGCTGGCATGTCAGTTTGGAACATTAGTGAGCCCTAAACACAGGGGAATTCAAAATCAAATGTATGTTCTTTTCCTTTGAGACCCTGTAGCATTTGCGGAGAGACGCTGAAGGCAATGAACAAATTGACGGCCAATTCCATGGCACCGGTAATTTGCCATTTCTAGAAGACAAAAAGCTCAAAGCCCTGTCCACTTTTGTGGATACTTCTCTCATAAAAAGTGAAAGTCTTCAACTGCAAGGGAAAGTGCCAGAAAATCCTCTGTCACTGTGAGGTCAGGAAAAATTCTTTGCTTCAGGGACGGATAAAGAAAGCAAATGACAGCTGCAGGGGAAGAAGTAGGAAGCAGGTGAACACGCTTTGCTGACGAGGGCAAAGCAGAAGCAAAACCCTTCCGCACGTGGGAGAATTCCGTCTTGTGTGCAGGACTTTACCTAGATGCCAAGAAGGGCAAGAAACTGCTGCGCAGGACCAACTGCAAATATGTTTGGCTGTCAAGTGCTCAGAAAGTCTCAGTCTGAGGTTCGGGAATATAGCTTCTCCCTGTGGTTGGATTATTACAACACAAAACTCCCTCGGTCTGCCACCAAATGAGTCTATCGTTCAGTAACGAGAAAGATCAGAGTATGGCCGGAAGCAGGAAAAAGAATTGAGATAAATGCTGTCCGTGGTACAGGCAAGCAGGCACTTTTGAAAGCTGAAGGTGTGGTGGCAACACTGGGAAATTCTCCTTCCTCCCAGGGTCTTAACTAGATGGTGTCAACCAATTCACGATAGTAAAAGGGCAACAGAAGGAAACTGACTATTTTCAGACATGCGTACAAATTCACTTGGTCATTTTCGCTGGTCTGCACATCATGTCTGGCATCCAATCAACAATTAAAATCTACCCTAAGCAGCTAGATAATACAGCGCCTCGTCAGTAGATAAAGCCAGACTATGAAAGGACCCAAGTGTTGTTCTGTCAGAAGTGGACCTTAGCTACCATGTATCATGTTACCGGATCTAGTGGGAAATGTGGACAGTGTGCCTGAATAGATGGAGGATTCAGGTGAGAACATGTGCAGAGTCAAATGGACATGATAGAAAAATAAAGCACACATGATATTAGAAGTGAAAGATTTCTTCAAGGGCTTATCAGTAGACTGAACACAGTTAAGGTAAGTATCAATGAAATTAAAGACAGATGAAGATAAGTTAACCTAGATGAAACATAAAGGCCAGGGAAAGTGTGGCTGGGTGGGAAACCGGAAAACAAAATTCAAAATCTATCAGACAGAGTCATTTATTTAACTATACTTCTGGAAAGATAAGGTTAGGACAGATAGTTACTTAAAAAGATAAGGGCCAACATATCAAAATTTGTGGGGTACTGCTCAGAGGGCAATTTATGACTTTAAATCTTACAAGAAATGAATAGTTCAGTGTCATCTTAAAAAGCTGAATTCACAGTTAAAATACTTCCTGCAAGGACAGCTCCAGATTAGATAGTTTCATTAGTGAATGAAATGACTTCAGGAAGTGATAAAACCAAATCTACTCAAATTCTTTCAGAATATAGGAGGCAACACACTTCCCAACCTATTTTAAGATGTCAGTATCCACTCTGCCACTAAAATCTGACAACAATATTATAAAACAATAAAACTGTAATGTGATACCCCTCATAAATACAGATGCAATATCCTTAGCAAACTACCAGTTAATTCAAGCTAGAAATATATGAAAAGCATTATAAATTCTTAGCAAATATGATTTTTTCCAGCAATACCCATCTTTTTAAAATGTGAAAAGTGTAACAGAGAAAACCATGCACAACTGTGTCATCCATTTAAGAAATTCTTAACAAACTAGTACTAGAAGGAAACTTTTTCACCCTATAAAAGGCAACTAAGTTCATATTACTATATAACCTCTGTAATTATAGAGTATTGGTGAAAGACTATAACTTTCTGAAAATAATAAGTATATTTTTACCACTTGTAGTAAAATTCTTTTGGAGATCTTGACAAGTATTTGCTAACAAATAAAAGTCCTCTTTTTGGGGAGAAAATCATAGTTATTTCTGAGATGGAATGACTGTTTCATACATAGACCCTTAGATTTATGAACAGAGAGGGGAGTCTAGAACTTGATCTACACATACGTAATTAATTGTTTTCACACCATTGCTCAGATTATGTAGTAGAGAACAGTTATCATTTTAAATAATTGTTCAAGGATAACTGATTATCCATTTTGAAAAACAAAACAAAGTGAAAAAGGCTTGAGTATTACCTCTTAACCACACAGAAAGTTTCTTGAAATGGATAATAGAATTAAATAACAGCTGCAAATATAGTCATTTTAAAAAGTGGAGAAAACTTATGCAAACCTGAGTAGCAAGTCTTCATTAAATGATATGAAAAAAGTAAAAAATATAAAATAAATTAAAATGGGATTTATAAAATTAAAATCTTGTGCTTTTTGAATGGCGCACAAGTAAAACGAGACACATAAACAAACAAACAAATTACAGATTGAGAGAAAGTATATTTAACATATATGTCACATACCTCACAATGATCTTTTATCTAAAATATATAAGGATTTTTGCAAGTCTGTAACCACAAGCTATATAATTCAGTTTAAAAAATGAGCAAACCATTTCAACAGACACTTGACAATATATCTTCTTTTAGATGTATGAATGGTCATGAATCACTTGAAAAGTAATTCAACATCTTTGGTGATTAAGGAAATGAAAATTTAGAACAAGGAAATTTGCTATGTACAGAAATGGGTAAAATTAAAGCATGAACTGCAACAAGGGTTGGGATACAGAACAACAGGGACTCTTACACTGTATGTATGATCCCATTTACAGAAGAATCTCAAAAAGACAAAAAATATGCAAAATGAGATGAAAAAAGTAAAGAAATCTTTGGTTGCATGAGATCTAAGTATGGGAGGAATTTACTACTGAAAGACATTTGGGTATATTTTGGTGTAATGAAAATATTTCACATGTTGATTCTAGTCATAATTATATAGCTATATATAGTTTCAAATTTTGCCCAACTGTTTGTATAACATGGGTACATTTTACTTATATGAGTTAAACTTTGAGGAAATGAATTTAATAAGTCAGACATCGTAATGAAGGTAAAAGGGCAAACCACTCACTGGCAAGCTATACTAATGACACACATAACGGAAAGAAGCAAATATACAGCATATTCGCATCAATGTACTGGTAAGGTAAACATGGGAAATGAACAAGTGTAACTTACAAAAGAGGAAAACTGACTCACACAATTTTTAAAAGTAAAACTTTGGGGATGATACTTTGCACTAAAGAGTACTTATTACTTAGAGGAGAGAAGAACTGGAATGACACACAGCAAGATCATGTGATAATGTGACATTTTATTCCTAAACTCATTGCTTAGGAAAAGTGCCTACTATATCCTTATTCTTTAATTTGTATATGTTACTATATGTCCTTCAAAAATTACATAATTCACAATGCAAGCTCCAAGTAAAATGTCTGATAATATTTCTTTTCAGAAAGCCCTCCAGTACTTTCTATCTCGTTAGGAAACCAAGTTAATGAAACTGATCATTTTCCATTTGGAAGCTCGATTTTCACGTCTCATTTTTTATTCTTTTGCAATCTTGGAGTATTCTCTAGATAATGGATTTAACTTTTAGAAGTTTCAACCTGCCCATTTTTTTCTACTAAGGTAGGTTTCATTTCCACAACAGTGCATTATTTTCCTCTGACTTGATTTTATCTCCTTGAATTCTCACTTTGTGAGCTTCACCTGATCCTTAATTCCTGTCCATTTGATCCTGTTTCCTTCTTAACATTTTTTTTTTTTTGCTCTTTTTTCACCTTCTCTTAGAGTCTCTTGTGAATGCAAATCAATTGTAAGGCACAATGCTTCTAGATCCTATATAATTTTTAACTGTAGTGGTGGAGATAAAAATAGTAGCAACATCAGTAAAATAACACCTGCACTTACATTCTTCAACATTTTCTTTCAATCACTACATTATATTATGTCCACTATATTGACAGTTTCATTAATCATTAAAAATACCATGAATATCATTGTATCATATTTTATCACTCTCATGCTTGTTATGAATTATAGGAACTCTAGAACAGCTGAGTGAAAACCTCCAGAGTGGTGGGGACTCACAAAATATTTATCTGACTTTGGAACCTCCACTTTTACTAAATCCTGCTCTATATTGCTATTCTGCTTAAATTAGTTTAGAATTGGAACCGGAACATCTTGGTGCTACTAAGAGAGCTTCAGGTCTAAAAAAACAAAAACAAAAAAAACCAACAAAAAAAACCCACTAAATATATTTCATAAAATTCCATGTGCCTCATCCTTCTTTCCACCTCCTTATACAACTAATTAAGTAGATTTTAATCTATTGGCAATTTGTCAT